GCATCCCCATCACTCTGCATCCCCATTGCTCCGCATCCCCATCACTCTGCATCCCCATCACTCCGCATGCCCATTGTTCTGCATCCCCACTGCTCTGCATCCCCATCACACTGCATCCCCATCACTCCGCATGCCCATCAGTCCACATCCCCATTGCTCTGCATCCTCACCGCTCTGCAGCTGCACTGCTCTGCATCCCCATCACTCCGCATCCCCATCACTCCGCATCCCCACTGCTCTACATCCCCACTGCTCTGCAGCCCCATCACTCTGCATCTCCATCACTCCACATCCCCGCTGCTCTGCATCCCCGTCACTCTGCATCCCCATCACTGCATCTCCACTGCTCTGCATCCCCACTGCTCTGCATCTCCACTGCTCTGCATTTCCACTGCTCTGCAGCTGCACTGCTCTGCAGCCCCATCACTCCACATCCCCATCACTCCATGCTGCCCTCGCCTTCCCACGTGCTCTGCACGGCTGCACAACGGCCCTGGCCGCGCTCACTGCCTGTGCTCCGTGTGCTCCACGTGCCCCCCGCCCGGCGCTGCCTCCGCACTGCCGCCGGCCGCAGCGCTGCCGAAGCCTCGAGCATTCACACCCTGCACGATGCCCTGCGCCCTGCGGCCGCGCTGCGCCCGGCTCTGCGACGCAGCTGGCACCCCGCGCCTCGCCGCAGCCTGCACTTGGTGCCGCGGTCCCTGTGTAAGCCGCGTGCGCTGAGGTCCTGTGGAAGCTGCTTTGGCTGCTGGTTCCTAGCGCTTCTCGTGGGAAGCGGCTCCGGAGCGTGTCGCTGGTGTAGAAAGGCTGGAAATGCTCGCTCGCGGCTGTCGCGCCGTGGGGCCTGTCTGCTCGCGGCCGCTCTGCCCGTGGCCGCCTCGCCCTGGCCCTCGGCCGCACTGTGCCCTGCGCTCGCCTGTCGCTCCGTCCCGCCCGCTCCATCCCTTGGCTCCCGCTCTCCGCAGCCATTCCCGTTCCCAGGGCGCCCGCTCTGCTGCTCCGCGTCCCCCATCCCGCTGCCCGCGTCCTGGCGCGCGCCGCCCGCTGCAGCCCCTCCGTGTGCTCCCTGGGGACAGGTCCTGCCCGTGGCCGGGCCCCGGTGCCGTCACTGCTGCTCTCTCTGTTCCCCCGGCTCCGCAGCCCGGTGCCCGGCGGCGCTGCCGCCTTCCTGCCGGCGCTGCCGGGCACTGCGCGCTGCAGCCCCCGGTGCCTCCCCGGCCCCGTTTCACCCCTGCCTTATTCTCCGCCTTCCCTGCAGGTGACGCAGACCCCAGCAGCCCGGGCGGCCCCACGGCCCCCGCGCCCCGCGGCGGCTCCGCTTTGCCGAGACCCCCGAGCTCCGCTCCGGAGCGCCGTGCCGCTCTGCCGAGCGCCGTTCCGGAAGAGCCGGCGCCGCGGCCCGAGCCACAGCGACGCTCCCTGCGCTTCCCGGCGGGAGCCTCCCGCCCCGCGGCGCCCGGCGGCCGCGCCGGTTGAAGTGTAACCCATGTGTGATCCTGAGCGCAGGCCGCCCGCGGGCCCCGGCCCGTGGAGCGCGGGTCTCTGCCCCTTCCGCAGCTGCTTCTGGGGCCGCGCACGAGACCCTGCCTGCGCCCGCCTCCCGCCCGGGAGGCCGAAGGCTGCAGACCCACCGCGTCTGCAGGAAGTTCAGGCCGGGACCTGGAAAGCCGGACGCCTTCTTGCCATTTCTGAGGAGCCCCCTGCCCCTCGCCCGCCCTCGCCGGGCCGGGAATGGTGGATGCACCGCGCGCCGCGGAGGCGGCGGCGGGCGCTGCCCGCGCGTGCACCCCGGCTTCCGCGCCGCAAGCAGCTGCAGCCGTACCTGTGTGCGCACACTGCGTGCCCCCGGGCACCACGGCTCGTCCCGGTCAGGATCCACGCCAGAGAAGGCGACTTCCAACCGCGCTGCCCGGCGCCGCCGGCGCTCGCGGGCTGCTCGGGTCTGCCCACCCCCTGCCCCTCATCCCCCCCACGCAGAGCAGCAGTGACGGCATCGCCCCTGCACGCACGGGCACCTCCCTCGGGATGCGGAGCTCGGCGCCGGCCAAGGCACCTGCAGCTCCTCCCTCCATTGCAGCCGGATCTCACCCCGTGTCCTGGAGGCCCCTCGGGACGGGAGGGCAGGGAGGCCCCACCGGCGAGCGGAGGGTCCCGTCGCGCGCCCCGCGGAGCCCCGCGGCTCCCGGGCTGCTGCAGGGCCAGGGCTGCGGCTCCCGTGCTGGACATGGGCTCCATGTGCTCCCGGCATCCCAGGCCAACGCCTGGGAGCAGCCGGAGCGCGGAGCGTCTCGGCTTCCCCGGCCGGCCGGTCCCACCATCATTCCTAGGCTCCCTTGACAGAAATGCAACTT